CAGCAGCCTGTTCTCTTGCAACAAATTGTGTTCTTCTCTGAGTTAACCCCCACTCAGCTCCTCACCAGTGTTCTTGGCTTCCTTCCCTCCGGCCTTCCTTTCTTCATTTCCCCAGTTAACATATCCTCTCTCTCTGCCTCCCACCCTCCCCTCACTGCGCCCCTAGTTTACATATCAGAACTGTGTCTCAGGCCATAAAAGTTGTCCTCTGTGCCTGCCTTAAGAGTCCCTGGGTGGCGCAAATGGTTAAGTGCTCGACTACTATCTGAAAGGTTGGTGGTTCGAACCCACCCAGAGTGCCTCGGAAGAAAGGACTGGTGATCTGCTTCCAAAGTCACAGCCTTGAAAACCCTATGGAGCACAGTTCTGCTCTATACACGAGTCGGAATAGACTCGACAGAAACTGGTTTGGTTTTGGTGCCTGGCTGAGTTAGTGTCCCCACACGACGAACAGGTGTGTGTGTGTGTGTGTGTGTGTCTGTCTGTGTGTGTGTGTGTGTCTGTGTGTGTCTGTGTGTGTGTCTGTGTGTGTGTCTGTGTGTCTGTGTGTCTGTGTGTGTGTCTGTGCGTGTGTGTGTGTGTGTGTTTGTCTGTGTGTCTGTGTGTGTGTTACCAGACTGGATGGGGTGCTGAGGAGAGGCTAGTATTGAGGAGGAAAGCCAAGATGTGTCCCTGAAAGCCTGAATCGGTATGTACGTATTTACACTAGGGTTTAAGTTCCACGTGTTGTACCTCTGTTGGCTTCAGGTACATTTCAGACTAAAAGGGGTGCTAGGGCTGGACTGGGAACCCAGCCAGTATGGATAATGTTATGCTTCTAGAAAAACACCTTCCAAGATCTAAACAACTGGCTACAAATATACATTTTAGCTCACAACCTACTTACTATAAAGTGGGGACAATTTATAACTGAAAAGTATGAATATGTACATCTTAGTGAAGAGTTATGCTCACCAGACTGGGGTCGGAGCTTCGTCTCTTAGCTCTTGATTTGGATCCCTTGCCATCTAAAGTCTCCTTGAGTTTTGGACACAAACATCCTAGGGGACTCTTGTCAACTAGTAAGCTGCTTAAGAGCAGGGGTCATGTGCCCAATCAATTAGCCTAATATAGTTTCTCAGTACTTTTGTTCCACCTCCTAGTTCATTGTATAGTGACTGGGGTCTTAAAAGCTAACAAGCAGCCATCCAAGGTATGGCAATTGGTCTCCAGTCACCTGAAGCAACAGAAGAAGAGGAGTCAGAAATTGGAGGAGAAAATCTAACGTATGTTGCCTCTGTGAACAACTGCCTCCTTTGCCATGAGATCGGAAGAACTGGATGGTGCCTGGCTACCATTACTGAACGTTTTGATCAAAGATTCTGATCAGAAGAATCCTGATCAAAAGGGGGAAAAATATGGAACATGATTTCAAATTCTCCATAGAATCCAGACTTTCTGGAGCCAGTGGGCTGGATAAGCCCCTGAAACTGTTGCCCTGAGATAATCTTTAAACTTTAAACCTTCCTTAAACCAAAACTATCCCCTTAAGTCTTCTTTGAACCAAAAAATAGCTTGTTTTAATTAGTAAAGTACATCTGCTTTAAGCATTGTGCTCTTTTAAAGAATTATCTATGTGAGATCAAAATGACAAGGGCAACTCAAAAGGTTGGAAGCTTAGGGGAAGTGAGTTTAAGATCATGGTGGTGGAATAATGTGGAAAAGGATATTGAGAATGGCAGCACAACTTGGAGAATACAGCCAGTGTCACTGAATTATCCACGTAGAAATTGTTGAAATCATGTATCTTTGGCTGTGTATTCTTTCACCATAAAAAAAAAAACAATAGAGCAGGGGTCATGCCTCACCCAAGAAATCTCCTCACCAACTGGAGCCCTGTGTCGCTCAGTTTGCCCTTGTCTGTGTCTCGTGTAAGTCTGAGTTATTTATTTGATCTTGAATCAGAGCTGTGATATGTATGTGGAGCCTGACTTTGTTGGGATGATAATGGGAAGAGACAAATAACAAACAAATGACTGTTAATTCATTAATGTGAAAAGAGAGCTTTTAGAGCTTGGATGAAAAGTTTTGAGAGAATTGAGTCAAATCTAGGCTTCTAGTGTGACCTGATGGTGAGTAGCAAGTTTTTAGACCCATATTCATGAAAGGTTCCTAGACAGTAAATCTAGTTAGTATTTAGTTTATGTGCACATTTTAAAATAACAGTACGACACATCCATCATTTCCCCCCCTTTTCTTTCATTTAATAATTAGGCAGTTAATTGTAGGTTTTCAGGAATTCCATTTTAACACACAAGATGGACACTTCCAAAAAGTCACTTGCAAACAATGCTGATGATTAGGTGGTTATTGTGTTCTACAGTGTTCTAATACACGATCATATATGATTTCACAATAACTTCAAGAGGTGACGTAGTGGTTAAGAGCTATGGCTGCTAACCAAAAGGTTGGTAGTTCGAATCCACAGGGGGCTCCTTGGAAACCCTATGGGGCAGTTATACTCTGTCCTTTAGGGTCACTATGAGTCAGAATTGACTCGATGGCAATGAGTTTGGTTTTGGTTCCATGAGGTAAACACGTATATATCACCCATTTGATGTGTGAGTGGACAGATCCTTGGAGAGGTTAGGTAAATGTTCTAATATCTCACAGCTGGAAGGTGGCAAAGGTGGGATTTGCATACAAGTCTGTGTTCCTTAACATACGCGCCACTGCTTCTCAGCAAGACTTTTGTAAATCGTTGTGTTATGCTTTGGTTGCTAACTAAATTATGTGATAAATTAATTTGTATAAAATACAAATTAAGCCTTACTTTACCTGTTTTCACAGTTTGGATTTTTCAGCTGTATTTGTTGGGAAGTATATTTATTATAAAACTGATTCTCTGCTTTAAAAGGATGGATTTTATGGTATGTGAATTATAGCTCAAAGAAAAAAAAAAAGAAAAAAACGGATTCTCTAAACCGTGGTGGTTCTTCTAACTATGAGTTACTTCAGTTTAATCTGTGTCACTACATGGCTGCTTCTATGAAGACAAGCTTAGTGCTTGGAAAATATCAAATGGGATTTTTGCAATTTATTCTGCCAAAAAACAACCACAGTGAAACCTGTGAGAGCTGGAACTCGATGGGACTGCCTTGTTTTTCCAGGTCTCACAAGTTTTCTGCCTCTGACAGGGTGCAGCTTACCACTTTTCTGTCGCTCTCTATTAGTGGAAAATATTTGAGTTTTCCTTCTCTGACAGGTTTCTGCTTTACCCACGTTCCGGCTTTGGCAGCTTTTACTGTAATTACGTTTGAGGACACCCACCCATTGCCATCGAGTAGATTCTGACTCAGCCATAAGACAAACCTGGTAATGGACAGATGACCAAATACTGGGATTAAATGACTAAATGGTAGAAGATATTTTTGTGGGAGAATTGGGTGTAACAGGAATGTACTTGTCATCTTTTCGTGTATCATTTATTCATTTATTATTTTTAGTATTAGACTTCTCTGACTTTTTTTTTTTTTACAGGAAACCATAACCTTTCTGTGCTCATTAAATGAATATAACTACATCAGCAGTAAAAAGGAAACTTTTACATTGCATTTGTGTCAGCTCCTAAAAATGGAAAGTTTCCCCGCTTAATTTTGTTGTTAATTTTTTCTTTTACAGTGAAAGATAAGACCTCTGTAGAATGAGGTTTTTTTTTTTTTTAAATGTTTTGTACATGGCTATTAAAAGAAATGAAAGCCCAGTCTACATAGAAGTTGGCTTTTTATTTTCATTGTCTGATCTCTATCTTAACACAGTAAAGATATTTCCAGGAACAATTATCAGTGTTTAGGAATTTAGAAAAAAAGAAAAAAATCATTGTACGGTGCCCTTCCTATGAAATACACCCGGGAAACTGGGAGGCGGCCTCGGGAATCTCCAGATGATGTGATGCTGTCCTCTGAGGACAGTCTGAAGGGACAGATTGTTAAATGTTGTAAATCCTTCAAAATAGAATTTATCCTGAATTGAGGATTGACCTGAATGTTTGGCGTGAAAGGTTAGGATGTGTTCGAGTGCTAAACAACACGGCCAGACTCAGGATGCGATTGTTGGAAATGAAATGATAAAACTCTTACATTGAGTCTTTCACTACAAGCCTTCACTCCAGACCTTACCTCGCGTTTTGAGATTACTGAAACCCATTTGGAGCCCGGCTTTCTGTTCTGATCCCGAATCCCTGTCACTAGAGCAAGTCTCTAGAGCCTTTCTTCATCTATTGATTTATCTTTAAATGAAGATAGTATTTGCATTGTAACAAGTTTTGGCATCCCTAGATGAAAGGAAAGTGGTCCCTAGAGTTTAACTGTGTTTCTTTAGCAACTCATGACGTCGGTTCTGAAGAAGTACATAGGAATTTCTACTGTGTAAATAGTTCTGTGTGCTTTAATTTTATTCAGATGACAGATGCTGTTTGTCCTGATATATTTAGGAGGGAAAGCTTTATTTGTCCTTATACCTGAAGTCCATTTGCCTCCTATTGTTTTGACTCTTTTACTCAGAATGAACAGAACTGTAACCCCTGTCTTCTTTTTATCGAGCATCTGTTTGTGTGTAAATCGGCTCATCCAGTTTAGGATCAAAGGCTGTACATGTGAAGGGAAATGAAACCACGTGAAATGGCTGACATACCATTTTGCACCCTAGAAGGGCTGTCTTAAGTCAGGATGATTCGGAGTGGTGAAGTTCCCCAAAGGTCATGCCGTTTTGACATGTCACCGTAGTTGAGACCACCAGCTTTGTTTTGTCTTTGGCCATCCTGAAGAAGTACAGCACCCTACGACAAAATATGATTTGGCGGGAAGGCTTGAGGTGGGCTGAGCAGGGAAGGCTAATTGAAACCATGCAACTCCAGCAGAAGTGCGTTTTTCCTTGAAGTGTGTGAAGGGGATCACATTTTCAATTTAACCCATGAAAGCTTCTTATTTTTATTTAAATGACCTCTGTTGTTGCTTAAATAGATCCAGCAATGGGAACAGAATCTGGAGAAATTTCACATGGATCTGTTCAGGATGCGCTGCTATCTGGCCAGCCTCCAAGGTGGGGAGTTGCCAAACCCCAAGAGTCTCCTGGCTGCCACCAGTCGCCCCTCCAAGCTGGCCCTCGGCAGGTTGGGCATCTTGTCGGTTTCTTCCTTCCATGCACTGGTAAGTCCCCGCGGACGGCTGATTCCACAGCTTTCAGGGAGGACTGAGGGTGTTCATCTTTCTGCAGCTTGTTGCCATCAGCTCTGCTGTGACCTGGCCCAGTAACTGATGAGGGTCACCCAGAGGCCTGGCAGCCAGGTAGGAAGAGTCTTCAGTTTCTCTCTGCTTATTTCAGGAGTCCAACCACTATTGTTGGTTGCTGCTGAGTCAGTTCTGATTCATGTTGGCTGTATGTATGCAGAGTAGAACTGCTCCACAGGGTTTTCAAGGCTATGAGCTCTCAGAAGCAGATTTCCAGGCCTGTCTTCCGAGGCATCTCTGGGTAGGTTTGAACCACTAACCTTCTGGTTAGTAGTTCAGTGCTTAACCATTCGCGCCATCTGAGGAATCCTGTCTAACCACATGTTAGGTGCCAGTGAGTTGGTTCTGACTCATGGCGACAGTATCTACAACAGAACAAAACACTGTCCCATCCTGCACGATCCTCACAATCATCGCTGTGTTTGAGCCCATCGGACCAGTAGTGGGCAGTTATTAAATATTCATATCTCCGTCTGTCTTCCTGTCTGATCCACCCTGTGTTGTCAGAAGGGTAGAATCCCTGAAGAATGGCAGCTATGGTGTGCAGAATTAAAACCACCAATTGCCGCCGAGTCTACCCCGACTCACGGTGACCCCGTGTGTACCAGACTGGACTGTGCTCCACAGGGTTTTCAATGATGTTTTGGAAGTAGATCACCGGGCCTTTCTTCTGAGGTGCCTTGGTGGAACCTCCAACCTTTCAGTTAACAACCAAGTGCATTAGTCATTTGCACCACCCAGGGACTCCATGAAGAATTAAAGGGCTGATTGATTATAGGTTGTTTTATCTGTACTGCCGAGAGCCCTGCTGGGTTTTCTGAAATCACTCCTGGGTGGGTGGCTTCCAGCATTGCACTGGTGCAGCCCGGGTGGTGTGGATTGTTTTGCTAACCCTGTTGCACACCATGGAGACGTCTGATGCTTGTGACTTGATTTGTGTTGTCCAGATAAGAAATATGTCTGTGGTGGATGCCTTTCTGGTATGTGAAACATGCGGCAGCTTTTGGCGCTGGTCAGAGCACAATTATCTCAAGCGGAGCTTCCTTCTGTTAGAGCAACTGTTAATTCTCTCTGTCACCCAGATAACCGGCTTTAAGATTCTTTTCAATTGTGTTTTAAATTAGATATGTTCTAGAGATGACTCTGCTCTCCGGAAGAGAACACTGTCGCTGACTCAGCGAGGGAGAAGTAAGAAGGGCATATTTTCTTCATTAAAAGGGTTGGACACACTGGCGAGAAAAGGGAAGGAGAAGAGACCTTCCATAACTCAGGTGGGGTCCTCAGCGTGGGAAGAACAGACCGAGCAGGAATTTTTGAAACATTGTAATTTTCAGCTACTGCAAATCGTAACCGTTCCTTTTCTGTTAAGAAAAGTTGGTTCAAAGGAATCCAGTCTTTACGCGGACGTTTTTCCTAAATGAAAATGCACAAGTTGCTCATTCTCTCTTTAGCGCCCCCCAAAAGGTCTTCACACCTTGATCCCACATTTTGTGTCACAGCACTTAGGGACACAAAAATAAGAATAATCAAAAAATAATCCCCATTTTTCACTGCCTTTAGGACTTAGAATGATTTTTTCCTGTAGATGCTATGTTAAAATAAATGTAGAAAATTAATAATAATCCAGAGTAGCAGCGGCTAAATTCTTTCGATAGTGCCAGATGCTTTGCTCATCTAATCCTTACAGCAACCCTGAGATTAAGGCATTTTTGTCACCATGTTTTACAGATGAACAACGGAGACTTGGAGAGGTTAATTTACTTAGCCCATTCACACAACCCCTGAGGGGGCGGGGCTGGGACTTGTACACAGATCTGCCTGAGTCCAAAGTCGCCAAACACTGGGCTATTGATGCTTCTTATTTTCCCTTGAGGCACGCTGGCTGTTTTAACATTTTATTAAGTAAAAGTAGCCTGAATCCTTCTTACGGAAATTTGGCCCAAGTACAGTGAATTATTTTCAAAATATTTTGATTATACATATATGAAGTATTTCATAATGCCCCATAATATAGCATATGATAATGAATTTCATGTTGCTAATTGATATGTTTATTGTTATTATTATTTTAGGATTATTATAGGGTTATTATAGGATTATTATTCCAAAGTCAATTGAATTGATGAGTTATCTTATGATGATCTGATAATGTCAGTGAATCGGGAAAGTGCTTCCAGTTAAGTCCAAAGAAGTTCTTTCTAAAATTTGAACAGGTTGCTATTATTCTAAATATGTTTTTATGTCGTCTGGAACAGACCACACTTTACAAAACTTTGTTTTCTAATTTTTATATAGCTGTTTATTTGATTGTGCATTCAGTTTTGTGAATTAGGTGAATAAAAGTGCCAGTATCAACTTCTTTGACTTGTTCAAACGCTTGAAGCAATCAAGATGGTGGGAGTGGGGGTGATTGGTAGATTGAAAGACAATTAAATGCTAAGTTGATAAATAACTTGATCATTTGCTTATTTTTCTTAGATATAGACATTTAGCTAATTAGATATGAGCCTAATATGGTCTTTACCCCAGCATATGTTGTACATGTTCTGAACATAAGATTTTTTGATAAACAAAGGAATTTGGTTGACACATTTATTGTTTTAAAAAGATATAAAGACTAATTACAGTATCGTTATTTATATTACTGAATAGAGTTGATTTAGTAGACATCTCTAAATGTTCAAATGAGCTATTTTTAAATGTTTATTATTCTATGAACTCCAGAAGAGAAAAGCAGGAATATGTAAAGGAAATTATTCCCAGTCCCTCTTTTCAAACATAACTAATTTTAATATTTAGCTGTATTTCTTTCTAATATTTATCATGTACACATTAAAAAGATAATAATGAGCTTGATTTTGGTGGCTTTGCCAACTCAACTTTGAGCTCTGTTCCGCATCTTCAGTAATGTGTACTTCTTGGTTAAAATTACAAGCAACATCAAGAAGATCCAGAGTGACTTGAATAATGTATAACATCATAGAGAAATAAAATATGTAAATATATGGGAAGACAGAAACAAAGTTTTTCTTTGAAGTTAAAACTTTTAAGTGTATTATAGTAGTAAATAGTACACATTGCAATATGTAGCTCTTACAGAGTGTTATAGAATGTCAATTTTTAAATACTGAAAAAGGTGAGTTGTCAAATGAACATTGCAGAACCATTTCATTAGTCTTTTTTCCTCTCCTGTTTATCAGATATTTGATTCAAGTGGTGGCCATGGATTTTCTGGAACTCAGCTACCTCAAAACTCCAGTAATTCCAGTGAGGTAAACTTTTGCTGTACATGGCAGCCATCTTGTTTTATATTGATGACACAGATGCTTAATTAAGTGGAGAATGCTAGTTCTGAATCTTTACATGAATTCACTGAACATAAATTTAGATTTAAAATGGTCCTTATTAGGTAAATAAGAGACATTCTCTGAATGCGAGGTATTTTTGGAGGTGTCTAAACTCATGATACCTCCATCTTAAAATTAGTGACATGATCAGACTAAAGTCATGATAAACCAGTTACTCTTGAGTCGATGCAACTCAGGGTGGCTCCATGTGTGTCAGAGTAGAACTGTACTCTATAGGGTTTTGGATGTCTGGTTTTCCAGAAATAGGTCATCAGGCCTTTCTTCTGAGGTATCTCTGGGTGGACTTCAACCTCCAACCTTTTGGATAGCAGTCAAGCATGTTCACCATTTGGTACCATTCAGGGACTCAAAGGTCATAATAGAATCTTTCATTTATATTCCACTAGTTCTGAGCACTATTTACCCTCATTTGAGAGTTTAGTAAATCCAAAATGGCATTTTCCTTTCAGAATTGTCAGGGATGTTCACAGAGAGTATTTTTATGGTGCACGTCAGCAACTTTTTTATCTCCAAGTGCCTTTGGAGGGGCTGAGAACACAATGTCCCCTACCAGTCTCCAGAATTACTTCCTGCCTTACAAGTCATCAGAACTGCATCTAATGAAATTCTGTAGCAGGTGGAGATTGTTTGCCCATGTCATGCCTCTTCTTTTATGTCTCTCTCAAACCCATACCTTCCCCCTCAAGGTGCATTTCATACTATTGACCTGTTTCTCTAACTTCTTCTCCACCAATTCACTTTCTCTTTGGCTTCACTTCCAACAAACCTTGCTTTAGCTATTTGCTGAGGTTGAAACCTGATTTTAAGAGGGTTGGACAAATGTCATATGCCATTGGAGAAGCAGGCAGTGTTAGTTAATACCTTAATTGGGATAATTAGGAGAATTGTGAACTTAGTTTGAAAAAAAATGAGGAAGGGTGGGGCGTTAGACACTGTGACAGGTCCTGGGGGAGGTGAGTGAGGAGATTTTTGGTGACCCTAAAATATAAACAGAGACGGCCACATACCCTGTTCCCATGTGAGGTCAGCCCAGGAGGGGAGGGTCCGCTGCTCAGTGTGCCATAGATACTATTGAACCTGCTCCCAGTGGCAACTCTACCTGAGATGTCCTGCCTCCTACAGGATGGGCCCCACAACAGAGAGTCCCTTTTGGAGCAAGAGAAAAGTAGGGTGCAGAACTCAAATTCTAGTAAAAAGGCCAGAATTAATGGTCTGACTGAGACTGGAGGAACCCTGGAAAGCATGGCCCCTGGACTCTCTCTGTCAACCCAGCTCTAAAATCATTCCCAAGCCAACTCTTCAGTCAAAAATCAGACTGGACTGTGGGACATAAAATGATGCTTGTGAAGAGTGTGCTTCTTAGCTCAAATAGATACATGAGATTAAATGGGCAGCTCTTGTCCGGAGGTGAGATGAGACGGCAGAGAGGGTCAGGAGTTGGTTGAATGGACATGGGAAATCAGAGGTGGAAAGGAGGAATGTGCTGTCACAGTATAGGGAGAGCATTTAGGGTCACATAACAACGTATGTGTATATTTTTGTATGAGAGACCAACTTGAATGTAAACTTTCACTTAAAGTACAGTAATAAAATAAAATAAAAAACCCTGTTCCCCTTCAGCTTCCAACCCCCAGGGCTCAGGGGCTGCGAAGGAAGGTTCTGAGATGGAGTGGTGTATACCAGGAGGCCGTGTCACTGGAGCTGTCCCTCTTCTTGGTGGTCTCCATTTGCTAGATTTGAACCACCGTGGAGGGAAGAGGAGGCCAGACTCCCTTTAAATAAATCAAATTATCGTGATGGCAGACTTTCCGTCATAAATAATTTCCATTCCCTGTGTTGTATTTTTATACACATTCAGAGCCTAGTTCAAAACCCAGCTCAAATCACATCCTCCTCCAGGGATTTTACTTGAATTTTTTTTTTTTGTTTGTTTGTTTCATTTTTTATTTGTATCACCATTATTTGCTCTGTTTTTAGCATATACTGCCTCATACTGTTAGTCATCTTTTTAAGTATATATGTCATGTTTCCTAGGTTAAGTTGCAATTAGGACCCTTGCTCTGTATAGTTTATATGTATTTTATGATTATGTATATATTCTCAATCCATAGCATACTGCCAAGTGTATAAACCAAAACCAAACCAGTTACTGTTGAGTCGATTCCACCTCATGGCGACTCCATGTATTCAGAGTAGAACTGCTGCATAGTGTTTTCAAGGCTGTGACCTTTTGGAAGTCGATTGCCAGGCCTTTCTTCCAAGGCACCACTGAGTAAGTTTGAACCACCAACCTTTAGGTTAGTAGTTGAGTGCAAACCGTTTGCACCCCCCAGGGACCTTACCAAGTATATAGTATTGGCTTAATAAATTTGCCTATTGTTTGTCTATCATAGATGTAGTCCTTTAATGGTTGAGAAGAAATATTTGATCTGCTATAAAGCCCATGATTTTAAGTCATATCTTTTTTTATTGTTGTAAAATATATATATAACACAACATTTACCAATTCAACATTTTTTACATGTGCAATTCAGTGACACCAATTATGTTAATATATCTTTTCCAGCATTAAATAATTTAGAATTTTTACTTTGAAAGTTAAAAAATTATATCATCAGAACTTACACTGGACTTTGAAAATAGATTTGCTAAAATAGCCATTGATGGTGAAAACTAGTAAGCTTAGTGCTTTTTTAAATTGGGCTCAAATTACCAGATGATCTTCTTGAGATTTACTAGACAAGTCTCTTCATTGCTATAAGGAGTGAGAGTAAAGTACTACAGCATCTATGTTTTTAAAGTACTGCTGCATGTATATCTAAATGTTTACCCCTGTTTAACTAAATATTACTGCTGCTATAGGGATACTGGAGAAATTCCTTTGATTTATAGGACTATTTTAATAGTGTAGCTCTCATTTCTATACTGCAATACTCAAATAAGTTCAAATCCAATCACAAGTAGAACTAAGGGTATAATTTGGTTTTTTATTCTGCCTGCAGCTAGCTGAATAATTAATATTACATTTTGCTAGTTTTCCCCTGCTAATCATTCTTGGAGGATATTTATAACTTACACAAACCATCTGTTTGTATACAGTAAGTATATTATACCCATTAATGTAGCACAGAAAGGCAGTCATTCCCAACGGTTGGGAGGGAGGGGTCCTGTGCATTTTAAAATATTCCACCCTAATTGCTGCATTTTGTAACAGCCCAACAGTGAATCACCCTAATTCTGAAATCTGTTAAGGCTGGAATGAAACCGATCTTGTTTGAGCATTTTTTTAAGGACACTTTGGCTAGCCAAAAACGAAAGGTTTTCATAACGTACTTCTTGGTGAGTAATGAGTCTCCTGCAGCCTTTGCAGGGCGGTGTTTGCTGTGGAGACTGAGACACCAAATCCCCCTCTGCGGCTCAGGACGGGCGGCTACCCCAGAAGCCGCGCTGCAGAAATGGCGGCAGCCCCTGGGTCTTGGCTTGCTGTCCTGGAAAATTGGCTTGGGGTGTCCCAGCCCTCTGTGGCAGCAAGTGAATGCAGTATTATCTCATTAGTCATTAGCCCCAAACTGGAAAAAAAAAAACAAAAACCTAATGTTGGTTTCTGAAATGGAAAATATGAATGAAACAACTTAGTCTTGATCATAACATAGTAGTCTAGTCTGTTTAAACAGAGTGTTATTAGTGTGGATACCTACAGAGCATACGTACACATACAGACAGACAGACAGACAGGTAGTTGTCAGCTGCCGTCAAATCAGCTTGGACGCGCGGCGACCTTCTGTCCAACAGACTGAACCATTGCCCAGTATTCGTGATCCTGGCACGTTTGAGTCTATTGATGTGGCTGGTGTCTCAGCCCATCTCATTGAGGGTTTCCCTCATTTTCATTAACTCTCTGCTTAACCAACAATGATGTCTTTTCTAGTGATTAATGTTTCCTGATGACACATCCAAAGTAAGTGAGCTGACACAAAAAGACCAGACTCACTGATCTGACAGAGACTGGAGAAACCGCAAGAGTATGGTCCCCGGACACCCTTTTAACCCAGTACTGAAGTCACTCCTGAGGTTCACCCTTCAGCCAAAGATTAGACAGGCCCATAAAACAAAACGAGACTAAACGGGCACACCAGCCCAGGGGCAAGGACTAGAAGGCAGGCGGGGACAGGAAAGCTGGTAACAGGGAACCCAAGGTCAAGAAGGGGAGCGTGTTGACATGTCATGGGGTTGGCAGCCAATGTCACAAATGAATATGTGTTTTAATTGTTTAATGAGAAACGAATATGCTCTATAAACTTTCATCTAAAGTAAAATTAAAAAAAAAAAAAGTGAGCCGAAGTCTCACCTCTCTCGCTTCTAAGGAACATTCTGTCTGTATTTCTTCTAAGATTGATTTGTTGTGCTGGCAGTCCACAGTATGTTCCGTCTTCTTCACCAACACCACAGTTCCAATGTATCAGTTTTTCTCCTGTCTTCCTCAAATAGATAGAAAAGTCTTTGTTTTTCTTTCATATCAACTGATTTTTGGGCATCAGCCCAAGAAGAAAATAAACACTTTCTCCTCTATGACATTTAACTATTTTTAAGAAAACCAAGAGCTGAGTAACTCCTTTTGTGCCTTCTCATCTCACTTGCTAATAGGCTTTCTTTTTCTCAGCAACTGTGGCGGTGTAGGCCCATTTGTGACAACCAGATTGTGATGTTGCTGCTCACTTCCTGTCAGCGATCCAAGTAGTAATTACAAGCCTTTTGATCCGAAAGCATCTGCTGTGAGAATACACGGAGTTTCAATGCTCTCTCCTTGCAGCACACTGAGCATAAGTAATTTGACATGTGGTCGCAGGACCACTCATAATGCTAAATGCTTCTGTGGAAGCTCCCCTGCAAGGAGAGCTAAAGAG